AAATGAGCATGCATTCACCACTGGCTGCATTTTGCTGGATATATCGCTTCCTTGGCAATTAAGAAAGAAAGGGGAGAAAGGGGGAAAAGTTGTTTTTTTAAAGAGAGACATCCTTCAGATAAAAGAAAAAAGGAGGAGCAAATTAATGGGATTCAGCAACAGAAAATACTGCATCTTCTCTCACTGGGCCACATTAATCCTTTTGGAAATTATTCAGCTATGAATAACTTGTTAAATAATCATTATAACTAAAAAGGCTGGAGAAAAGGACATCTGACATACTGTATTCTGTGCCTGCTATGGTAACCCATCTTCTATTTCAGCATATCCAACATATCCAGTGGAGCCTGTAGAGAAAATATATTCCTTTCGGTTCTTTACATATAGTATTTGTTTTGATCATTTGCTGCCTTATTCCCCACTTGCATGTAATAATTTGAAATTTTAAAAAAATATTGGAATGCTTCATTTTCACAACACACTCTTTGAGAAAGTGATCAAAGCCAACAAAAAGCTGCCTTGTAATTCTTAGCAGCATGGAGTGGTGAAAGAAAAAAAGAGATGTGTACTCAGTCGTGCCAATGTTTGGGGACCAGGGTCCATGGGAATAGCCAGAAGGGAAGCAAAAGACCAAATAATTAATATGGAAAAAGAAAGAGAATCCACATTCATCTTCCTTTGTTTCCCAATGTTTGGGAAAGGGCAAGAAATAATGATTCAGATAAACAAACATTGCAAACAATGAGGTTATATGTTGATATGCTAAGTCCATACAGCATACAGTGAATTAATAAGATTATGAATTTTATTTTATTTATTTTTTTGCATTTGGCGGAGGCAAATGCAAATGTAACAGACCAACTGCAATGAAATCAACTAGGATTTTCTCAAGGCATTTATCAGAGTAATTTTTCCCATTTCTGGCCTATGAATTAGTAACCCAACAAAGCAACTGTGGCTTTTCATTTTCACCCCAAGAGTTTTTAATAAGCAAAACCTGTACTATCTAATAAAATAATGTTGTCCACATTTGCTCATCATTCAAATAGCATATAAACACAAGGGAAATTTATAAACAAAAGTCTTGTCAATTCCACTAGGGCAAAGATGACTGAGATTAATTCAAACATCAGTGTGCTTGTATTCAGATCTCTGCTGTTGCTTGAATGGGAATTCCAGTTGTATTCAAATGGGAATACAACCACAATACAAATGATTTTTAGTCAAAATTTTTGGCAGTTCTTGACAAGGAAATGTCTGGCTTCCTATCTCTGATATCAGAAATTGTGGCTTAGTAAAAAATAGTACTACTAAAAGTTCTCCAATTTATACTTTTCTCCTCCAGACACAAAATTTTTCTCTGAGTATCTCATTACCACTTAAACTCACTAAGATTTGTGCTCAAGACATAGCTCTTCTATCTGTATCTTTCCTGGCCATTTAGTCTTCTCATCTATAAGATGAGCACTACAGCTGAGAAGACATACCCAGAAATCACTCATAAAGACTACCGTAAAATCATAAATTGTTTACAGATAACACAGGCCTTAGTTCAGAAGTCCTGGAAGTAGTTTTCTATTAGATAAGTTATAACCAAATAAAATTAAATCAAATCAAATCTTTATTGCGGTCAAAGACCAGCATAAACAATCTACAGTTATCTTTGATAGAACACCATACTGGTCATTCATCAGGACTATGAACCAACATCCTGATCGTTATATGATCCAGATTTACTTTCAGTGGTCAGATTTAGTCACCTGATTTAATGGCCTACTACAATTCTTCATTACTGAGCTCATTAGCAAAATCACTATTTAAGATTACATACTAACAGCTGACAATCTGCTAAACACAGATACTATTGCTATTTAAGAAGCAATACTATTCTAATATGTAAAAGTAAACAGGGCTGAGAGAGGGTGAAAGAATAGTTTTTTTTTAAGGGAATAATGTAGCTAACACTCCTTCAATTGAATAACATTCCGGTAGAATTAGATGCCAGAGATTTTAACCCTGAACTTAATTTAACCCTGAATTAAAAAGCTGGAGTTAAGCCAATTAGTTTTTAATGACACAGCAGTCAAAAGTGTATCCTTCACAGACAGTTAACTTGCTTTTTTGTATAAATCAAGTCATATGTAACTGTTATTAATTCATAGTGAAAGTAGAATAAAATAACTTTTAACCCAATTCTCCACTCTAAAGCCCAAGGATGGATCAGGATCCACAAATGAGTCACACCTGTATGAAGCAGTCATAACTCCCCAAGATCAGAAACTTTGTGCTGCAGAGATGATGTTTTTCACCTTGTGGAGATGCAGTAATGATGTAATTTATCCTGGCAGTCCCTTCTGTGCCACCTTGACAGCTTCTGGGGTTGGAGAAGGAGCAACATGGGGTAAAACAAGGCTAGCTTCTCCTCATGCTTTAGAAGTGAAGGGCTGTGTTACTTAATCATGCAGATTTAGGGAAGTGCTTCCCCTTGAAGCTTTGCACAGCCCTGGGAGGCTGGCTATTAACTTTCCATTCTTTGTTTTCTTTAACGAATGAAGAGAGGAAAGAGAAGATGCTCTCTGCATGGTCTTAGCCCTGTTCTTGTATCAGCACCACTCTTCAGTGACTCCATGACATAGTCCCTGTTTGCCATCTGAAGTAATTTATTTGAGGTTGAGTTGCAGTGTATCCAAAAACATTGTGGGGATGAAATGCCAGAGTATTCCAGAGTTTGGGAAAGTCCTATCTTCTACCTCTTTGTCTGTCTCCCTCCCCTGTAGAAACCTAGCTATGGTGACACTTATTATTCAGATTTGTAGTGACCATTTAAACTAGTAAAATAGTTGAATATAATAAATAACCATATCAGAGGTGGTATTCAGCTGATTCGGGCAAACTGGTAGCGGGGATTGCGGGTGGGCCTGGGCCCGCCCACATGCCCCGGCGGTATTATGTCATCTTATTTAGCCACATTTTTGAGGCCAGGCGTATGCACGGAAGGTGTGCGCGTGTGAAGCAACTGGTGGTAACAATACCTGAAACTCACCTCTGAACCATATACTGTAAACCATGTGTTGTATCACATTGAAGAAAGTCTTCTCCCAAAGTAAACAATCATCAGCTGCAGCCAGAGCCTTGAATCATTCTCAAAAGCCAGTGAGTAACCAATGCAGCTCTAATTTCCTTTTCTTTTTCTCCTTAAACTGAAATAACCTCAACACTTTTACAAGTAAGGCTGACAATCCCATTCATTTTAAAAGTAATAAAGCAGCTATAAGAACATTACCTTGAAATATGTTCCAAATTTGAAACAGATATGTTCTTATAGATGCTTAAAGATGTTTGGCCAAAAAATAAGTTTATTCAATGGAATATGAGTGAGAAGGATAGAAAAAGAAAACATTGGGGAGAAGAGGGAGGAGGGGACTAGTAGTTCCATTACCCGCAAAATCTTGAAACACTTATAGGGCTCAACTAGTATTATTTTAGATGATCCTATGTATTTTATATAGGGATGTGGTGGCTCAGTGGCTAAGATGCTGAGCTTGTCGATCGAAAGGTCAGCAGTTCAGTGGTTCGAATCCCTAGTGTCGTGTAATGGGGTGAGCTCCTGTTACTTGTCCCTGCTCCTGCCAACCTAGCAGTTCAAAAGCACATAAAAAATGCAAGTAGAAAAATAGGGACCACCTTTGGTGGGAAAATAACAGCATTCTGTGTACCTTTGGCATTTAGTCATGCCGGCCACATGACCATGGAGACTTCTTCAGACAGCGCTGGCTCTTCAGCTTTGAAACAGAGATGAGCACCGCCCCCTAGAGTCAGGAATGACTAGCACATATGTGCGAGGGGAACCTTTACCTTTACCTTATGCATTTTATTCTTCTGAAGCCTGGCCTTTTCCAGATTTTTATCTGTTTCTGGAATGTATTATTTATACTATTTTACTATTTTTGAATTTATTAAATGTTGGTTTATTTATCTAGTTGTTTTTCTTCTGTTTCATTTGTTCATGTAATTCTTTTCCTCTGCTGTTCTCTGATGTTTTCATGATCCCTTCCTGTATTTCATTCACTAGTATATAAAATAGAAATACTTTACAAATATCTAACAGAAATAGACAAAATAAAATGTAACCTAGCATGACTTTGTAGACTTATTTCTATTTTTAACACTCTTCAATATTCTTATTTTGTTATTTGATACATCAGCTAATAAATTCTCTTTTTTCCTTTTGAATCTGTAATTCTCTTTGATCCCTTTGTAATCAATAGTCCTTGGGGAGAGTACAACAGGATCAGATACATTACATAATTGATCAATAAACAAGGGCATTATCTTAACTAATGTATTCTGTGGGGATGGGAATTTTTTTTTCTTCATTTCCTGAGTTTAGCTGATTATATACTGTTTCCATTATTATATAGCTTCAGGTAAATAGTGTGACACAGAGCTCAACTTCAGCATGAAATATGATGGATTCCATGGATTCAAAAAAATGCATTGCTAGGACATAAGAAGCATTTCCAACAAGGTGTTTGTGATTACTAAGCCCAAAAAAGATTTTTACAGGTTTTGTTTCTGAATATATTTGTAAAGATGAGAAGCCGTCATAAATTCACTAAGGGACAGATTTCATCCTAGATCTTTGCTCTACTTAGTTCAGTAACCTACTGATCTCAATTTGTTAAGTGATTCTCAGGTATAAATGGCAGAAGACAGACTTTAAGGTTTTGAGTTCAAACATTTTCTAAGGCAAGAAAGAGACTTTCAACTTTCCTTTGCAGAAAGCTGGAAAAAAATCCTGATAAATATCTTAAATCAAATTCCTCTCATGCCCCTTCCTTCCAGTTTCAAACTGTGCTACCTAGAAGTTGAGATAAGAAAGATTACCATTTGCTAGTGGATTTGCTAACAGTGTTTTTAAAATAGTTAAAATATGTGCAAACAAATTACACATTAGCCCCCAGCTGAAAGCAATAATGCTATAGATTACAAGAGTAATATGTGAATCCACAACTTGTTCAGATTTATGCATTAATAATTAGCTAAAGAGGAATAATAAGAATACATAATTGTCTAGTTTGGTGCCTGGCAGTTACAGAGAAGTGAGAAGAGGCATCACCCATATATCTGTGTTATGATTAATGTTAATGAAAATATGGAATAGAAAATCATTTTCAAACGTCTAGAATAAAGAATGATACAACAATACTCAGAATGGTGAAAATGTTCAAAATATGACAGGGGCAATTTTAACATCACTAGCCAAGCCTTTCTTCTGGAGTTCCCTGGTAAATAGTAATGCTTTTGATAAGCTGTCACCCATGAGATTGATCCTCTTGATACTTTCTGATCCATTCAGTTGGACTTTCCTCTCCCTTCACCAGCTCTGAGAAAAATAGAAAGAAATGTGTTTTGGTTCTTCTTACCCCAACCTGCAAACACAGAACTTAACAAACTTTCTGCAATACAAAGAATAGTGGGCACATGGGAAGACTTTAATGAAAAATCCTCTTACTAAACAGTGAAGCCAAATCTCTAGATACAAAATGGGTTTATTGAGGAAAGGTATTAGGAAAACAAAAGAAGGCAATAATTGCACAGAGAATTCCAAGTACATATCAATACAGTCATTCTAGCTAATTATTTCTTACCTCCTTGAATAAGCTGGTGGGTTTCAGTTCAATGCAGAGATTCAGTAAGACAGAAATTATCTAGGACAGGGGTCCCCAACCGTGGACTGGCACCGGGCCACAGCATGACAGAAACTGTGCAAACAAGCGAAGCCCCATCCAAGGGATGCAAGCAGCATGCAAAACCACAACCCCTCCGGTCCGTGGAAAAACCTGTCTCCATATAATCGGTCCCTAGTGCCCAAAAGCAGTTGGGGGCCACTGATCTAGGACAGTGTTTCCCAACCTTGTAAACTTGAAGATGAGTGGACTTCAACTCCCAGAATTCCCCAGTCAGGTCTGCTCTGACTAGGATCTCTGCTTGAAAGCTAATACGCAGATCCTTCTTGACCTTTCTTTTTATCTTGAGAATGCTCCTCTGTTTCATGGAATACTGAGCATAACTAGAAACTAGATGATTGTTTTATCCAGTCAAGGAAAAACCTCTATCTCTGATGTTCTACATCCAATAAGCAAATTAGAAATTATCTAGTAGTTAAACCCTTGTTTTAATAACACCTGATGAAATGATAAAGTTACAGACTAGTTTTTAGCAGTCATACTAGTATTTAAATGGGGAGAGCTTTTGTTTCAGGAAATTTCATTTATCTGACAATTTGGGTTCATTTTATCAAATGCTTCAGAGAACACTGTTGTACCCTACTAAAGTGGCGTGTGTCACAGAGGGCAATCAAGATAATATATATTTTTGATAGGGCACAATTTTACACAGAGAAGGATGTTTATTACTACTACCTTACTTATATGGTACTTACAGGTAGATGATTAACTAAACTCTACCATCTAAGTACTTTATGAACGGAACTGTGAAATTACAATTGGGGTATATCTTTGCCAGTCCAGATGCATCAGACATAATAGTGTAAATATAACAACCATAAGCTGAATGTTTTTGTGTTTGCTTACTAAATGATTTTTTTAAATCAATATTTTAAAAACTTATATTGCTAGAGGTTAAATTATGCATGCTTCACAAAAAATGAATAAAAATAAATATGCTGTCTGTTTTTTCTTTAGTATTAGAACACAATTCTTCCTATGGCTTCCTATGACTTCACGAAGTATCTGATTCTATCCAAGATATAATTATTATTAATAATTATATTAATTAGTTTTAAAGAAGTCTATAAAAATAAGAAAGAGGATTTGTCTTTTAATAGCTACTTGCTAAAATGGATAAGCAGACAAAATGTCCTAAGATTCAGAGGCTTAATAGCAATAACACCCAATATTCCTAGATATGTATGAATGGCTATTCTTGGCAACAGGATATAAATTATTGTAAGCTTTCACAAAGCTCTTTTATTTAATTTCAGAGCTTTCTCCATCATCCTGGGCCCTCTCGGTTGGCTGGGAATTCTTGGATTTGTTTTCCAATGTATCTGGATGGTGTAAGGTGAAGAAGGCTGTCCCTGTTAGCCTGTCCATTATTATATTTACTGCAACCATAACTGTACAGATGTGATTACTTACTATGATCAACTTATAAAGAGCTATAAAGGCTACTGTAATTGGTAAATTGCTAAAGTAAGTAAAGGTAAAGGAGTCCCTATGGATTTTACTCCACTATTGTTGTTAGTAACCATAAAGGGCGGTGCTCATCTCCATTTCAAGCCCATTGAGCTAGCGCTGTCCGAAGACATTTCCACGGTCATGTGGCCAGCATGGCATCATAGAGTGATGTTACCTTTCCACTGAAGAGGTACCTATCTATCTACTCTCATTGCATGCTTTCAAACTGCACAGTTGGCAGGAGCTGGGGCGAGGAAAGGAACTTACCCTATTGCGTGGTGCTTGGGTCTCGAATCTGGGCTGCCGGCTTTCCAGTTCACAAGCCTAGCATCATAACCGCTCAGTCTCTGCACTGCCCCAAATAGGCATGATTATTATTATAATTTATTTGTCACTATTGAGGAGGAGTTGACTTTCTCTGTCCAATGAACATAATCTATACAATTTTAGCAGGTTGCCAGCTGCAGAACTGTACTTTGCAACTACGGCTCCAAAAATCTGGCTTTTAAATCTGGCTTTTAAAAAGTTATTTAGTTTTTTAAAAAGTTATTTAGTTCAGTTTGCTTGTTTAGAATGCTTTGGATATATCATATTTCTTTGGGGAATTCCTTACAGTTAATGAATCCCACTACACACAGAATATCAAGTCGATTCTCTTGGAGTAATTTTCAAACACCAAGCTTCAATATTACACAAACAGAAGAATGGCCTGAGAATAAATAGGGTCAAAAGTAAAGTCTCATTTAAGTCAAGCTTGACATCCTGCAGTTTTCTTGGCAGCAATACAGAAGTTGTTGGCCAGTGCATTTTTCTAGAGTGTAAACAGGCAAAACAGTTCTCTGCTTCTGTCAGTTTCAGTGCAAAATCTACATTAGTCAGAATACTCATTCATAATAGAATGCTTTCTCCACCCCCCATCCCCCACCTCAGCTTTAACAGTCCTTGAAAGAGGTTCACTCTGAAAATATTTTTCAAGCCACAGCAGTCAGTTTCAATGCCTAGTTCAGCACTTCTGCCCCTCAAGCAACTATACCTGACCAGTACTGTAGGTTTTTAGAGGTCTTATAAAGAAAAAAATAGAGATCCATAACCTATTACATCACTAGTTGCAGCCTTTAATTCTAGCAACCATAAAGAAATCACCCAGTTATTTTTCTGTGGGTGCTAAATGTTCTGCTTTCTCTTCTCTCTGGCCTTCACAAGGGTTACCTTAGAACAGAGCCTCCAGTTGTTCTAAAGCCAAGGTGTTCATCAGGATACTCTTCCTGAGATATACCATAGAAATGTAAACAATCTATAGTATTGACTCATATACCCAGTAGTCAAATGATTGATGCCACAATACTCACAATCTCTTTGAATTTTAGCCTCTTGGTCTCGTTTGTAATTCCATCAAAGCCTCTTGAAATGTAACTGGTGGGCAAATTCCAGGTAGGCCTGACCACTTGCCCCAAGCTCTGTCACTTCTTGGTCTTGCAATGGAAGTCTGTGCATTTGGTCTCTTGGCATCATTCACTATTATGCAGTCATGAGAACATTCTCCCTCTCCCCCCCCCCCCCCAGATATGGTTGAACTGATTAAATTCATCAATAGCTATGTTTAAAATAACCACGAGTTCTTTGAAGTTCAAGCCAATTTTATATTTTTTCTCCTTTTTAAAGAATGGCAAGCCTTTATTGCCAGGCTTTGCATCTTCCACCTGTTTGTTGACCTGCTGCCTGGAACAAAGTGCTAATTAACATATCCCAGCTGTGATGGTTGATCCCTGATGATGGCTGCATCAAACATTTCCAGAGTGAATCTTCTTGTAACAATGAGATGAACCTATATGAATATGAGCTAGATGTTGAACATTTGGAGACAGAGACAACATATCATCAAGACTTAGTTCTCGATAATATTTCAACATGCAGGCTGAATGTAAAGCCATGATTAGTAGGCACTGCTGAGAAAGTTAGTCCTGTATTTTTCTTCTGGAGAATTTATATTAAAACTTAACATATTTTTATTTAAGAGAATGTTTATTAGATGTATATTTTTTATTTCATCCATTTTCCAGCCTCCAATACTCCCATCTGCAGCTCTATCTACTCTTATTCTTCAGTGACCTTTAAAAAATACAATTTAACATTATTTTTATTTACTTTATTTCATTTTGGATATTTATGAAGCCCTTCCACTTGAAAGAATATCATGGTGATGTCCATAACAGGCAAACAATTCTTATAAAGCAATATAGCAGCAAGATGAAGATTCTTAAAAATGCATTCAGTGAAAACTATCAATAATAATTTTTAAAATGAGCTGGATGTGGTGGAATATTCTTTTTTTAAAAAAAAAAGACTGTGGTGCTCCAGGAGAACAATGAAGCACATGACCTTCTTTAATAAAAGGGAAGACTTTTTATCCTTATTAATTGGCATCTGTTCTCTGATTTATTCTGTTCTTTATTTACCAAACATCATACATAATTTTTGTTATAAATTTTTGGAATTCCGAATAAAAACACTTCATGCCTCTGATGATAGCACGCCAGAAATGATGTCATTTGAAAAAATATATATTTAAGACTTTTGTGTATTAAATTTTAATTCCATGCTAGATCATTTGGAAAGTTCCCCGCATGGATAATAGAATAATTCTCATTGTCCTCGGATAGCACTGAAAGTTCAACATATTCAGAAAGTGGCAAGTTAAAAGGAGTAGGTGGTAGCCTCTGGTTTATATCAAGAAAGTTCTTTTTTATTATTTAATTCAATTGTGGCACTGTTCAATTACAAAGTGATTGAATATATAAAAACAAAATATATTAAGATAATAAAAATATAATAAGGAAAAGAAGAAACAGAATCCAGAATCAAATCAAAACTTATACAATATATGTCAAAAACCTCTAACAAGGAGGTTCCATCTACCTTACCCCAAAGCATGGGAAAGAGGCATGTCTTTAACATCTTCTGGAATGCTATCTGGGCAGGAGGTGTACTCTTAATAACCCAGCCTACTTGCATATATGATAAAATGGAGAATATGGATGTCCCAAAGCTGCTTTTTCAAGAGGCAACTGGACTTTCTGTTTTTTTCTTTGAAGACGTTTCACTTCTCATCCAAGATTTGCGACAGCCATGACCTGGATGACTGAGAATCTTCATAGATATTGAGAATATGCATGATGCTGTCATAGATGACAGTGAAACTAAAGGTTCTCAGATCTTTCTGCAGGTAGCTAGGTGATCACTTCCTAGAAGTATTACTTATATCTCTGAATTGTAACTGAACTGAGTTCTGCTAGTCACTAATGCCTCTCTTAACTGGAAACCATCAATCATATGGAACTTTGAATGTGTTACAATCTTTCTGAGGGTCTTGATTGACATATCCAATCACTTCTTTTTAAAAAACTGTTTAAGTTGATCATATGGCCAAATAACTTATACTTCTTGAATTCACTACTCTGGGGAAAGAGGCCACAACATGGTACAATTAATTAGAGAAGAATAAACCAGAGTTGATTTCTGCTCAAGATCAGCTCTACCAAGCTTAACGAGGGACGGCGATTTTCCTCTTAATTAATGCTGCACCCCCGATTGTAAATCTACTTATTTCCTTATGATTCTTAATTTGATTCTTCAGACTTTTCAGATTCCCTGGTCTTGGGATGACCTTAGTAAACCCGATTCCTTCCGAAGGGTACTACATTAAACTTCCCATAGAATAATAATCCACCCGAAGACCACTAGCTTGGGAAAGTGTGATCAAGGACCTTAAAACTAAGAGGAAACGCGGTCCTCTGAAAATAAGGACGACCAAGATGGTGAAGTGAGCGAACGGGGATCAGTTCACCGTCCAGTATAGAACTCGCCGGATCACTAAGCGGGACTCATTTTTGAACAGTCCAAGCGAGCGATCTCTAACACCCCGAGGGTAAGCCGCCTTCGGTCTTCGCTCTTCGTAGCCAGGGCTCAAGCTCACCTCCCTCCCGGCTCAACTGGATCGATGTCTCCGCTCTCCGTCCTCCCCCCACAACGCCAAAGTTCTTTACTCCACGCCCTCATCCCGCAACCTCGGGATTCCCCAGGCAGCAAGGCGATGTGAAACGGCGACTCTTTTATTTATTTCTTTTTTTCTTCCTTCCTTCCTTTCCCTCCCCCCACCCCCTACACACACCTCCGCCTCCCTTTTATCTTTCCGACACATCTGCTCGGGCTCCGACAAGGGATGGCGCACGTCATGCGCTGGCCGTCCGCTTGAAGCGCGAGCCTCTGCCGCTCGCCCAGCCGCTGCACCGGGGAGGCGATGGGGCTGGAGGAGCCCAAGGTGCAGATGATGTGCTAGCCTCCCCGCCAGGCGCCAGAGGCGGCTATTTTTAGAAAGCCCTGCAATTTCTCTCTCTTTCCTCCCCCCCCTTTCCCTCCCCTCGCAAAGCCTAGAGTAGAACAGCGGCGCCGGGAGAGCCACAGTCTGAGCGCCCAACACCGCCGCGAGCCCCGCTGACCGAACTGCCCCCCCACGGCCGGCGGGCCAGCAAGCAGGTGGGTAGATGCGCTTTTAGTCCCGTTGCCCCTTATCCACCTCCTCGCCTTCGGTCCCCCTTTCGCTCCGAGGCCGCTGAGGCCCAGCGGTTTTGGGTTTTTTTTCCCCCCTAGAACCGGAGCAAAAACAAAAGCGGGCTCCTTTAAGCCCCTCGGGGCTGGGCGTGTCCCCAGCCGCCGCTCCGCTCCGCTTCTCTTCTCTTCTCCAGCTCACGGAAGCTACGCGCCGGCCAGCGCGGCTTCTAAATCCCCTGTTCTCCCCCGGGCGAAGAGACGGTGGGCGCGCGCGGGGGCGCGCGCGGACACGCGGGAAGAAAAGCCTCTCCCGTCGTCTCCTCGCGCAGAGCTGTTTCCCCGCTCGGGGCTCCTCATCCAAGGCGGGAAAAGGCTTCGTTTAAGGGCCTTCCCGGTCGATCCTCTCCTCCTCCTCCTTTTCCTTTCTCGCTAGCCAACCCCTTTTGCCTCTGGTCTTGTATGCAATGGGGAAACGGCTCCGAGCTGTGTTTAGGTTGAACAAGGCAGGCCAGCCTCAAGCGTAAGTCATGGAAGCTTCTGCAAAGCCTCCCATTTCCTCTCCTCTTCCCTCCCAGCTCCTATTAATAGCAAGGAAGCTTTTGTCTTTCTCTTTGCACCCATTAATTATTCCCGTTGACTGGCGTTAGGGAAGGGAGGGGGGGAGAGGAGAGGCCTCAGAAATAAAAGAAGAGCTGGAGGGGAGGAAACAGACTCCTGTTCCCTTCTTATGTAATCAAGAGTAATAGAAGAGCGATCTCAGGGCGGTTCTGGCAGCAGCCTGGTGGGTGTGGGGGTAATTTGGGATTCCCCAGCACACTCAGCATACACAGGCTGTGTGCAAGTTGTATGGGAGGCCTATCAGATCGGTTCTATCCTTAAGCTTAACCTCTGAGAGACAACGGCAAAGGTGAGAGAGGGAGCTGTGTTCCCTGGCATCTACGCTGGCATTTTCCCCCATGACCATCCCGGTTGTCACCCCACAAGATTTTCCTCTTTCAGGTTCCATTTGGAAGAAACATTCAAGTGACATGGCCTTTGAACATGTCATGTAATGAGAAGATCATGGCCTTAGGTATACAGGGAGTCCTTGACTTACAACTGTTAGTTTACTGACCATTCAAAATTACAAAGGCACTTTTAAAAAATCGACTTATGACTGGTTTTTCACACTTATGCTCATTGCAGCATCCCCATGCTCACGTGATTAAAATTCGGATGCTTGGCCACTGGCATGTATTTATGACGGTTGCAGGACCCCAGAGTCACGTGATCACCTTTTGCAACTTTCTGACAAAGTTAATGGAGAAGCCAGAGTCACTTAGTAACTGCGTTACTAATTTAAGAACTGCAGTGATTCATTTAACAATTGTAGCAAGAAAGGTCATAAAATGGGGCAAAACTCACTTAACAACTGTCTTGCTTAGGAACGGTAATTTTGGCTCAATTGTGGTTATAAGTCGACTACCTGTGCTTGGAATCTTGCAGAATGCTTTTTATGTCAAGCGCAGGATGAATGTGTGTTTGTGTATACACATACATATACACATATACAGATACATATACACATACACGTACATACATACACACACATATATGCAGGGCATGATATATATACACTGCTCAAAAAAATAAAGGGAACACAAGCAGAAGACATGAGATCTGAATGAATGAAATAAGCCTTATGAAATACTTTGTTCATTACATACAGTAGTTTTGTGTTCCCTTTAGTTGTTTGAGCAGTGTATAAACTACTGTATGTAAAGAACAAAGTATTTAATAAGGCTATTTCATTCATTCAGATCTCAGATGTCTTCTGCTTGTGTTCCCTTTATTTTTTTGAGCAGTGTATATATAAGAAGTGGGCTGAACTTAAAACTCTTGTGGGTGTGAAGGGACTCAAGACTGATGATGAGTTTGACCCCCTCCCCTGGGCTCATCTTGGTCATCTCCTACATTTTATTTATTATTTATTTATTAAATTTACCTGCTGCCCATCTCGCTAACCAAAGTGAATCAGGATGGCTTGAGTCAATGTCCTCTTCACCAGTCCCACCAATCATATTGAAAAGTTTATAAGGAGAGGACAACTAAATTGGAATTGATTCTCTGGAGATTAATCTGACCCTAGGTCTCTTGAATATTTTTTCAAATACATTAGCTTTGATGTTATTCAAAGTCTGGAATGCAAATATTATATGGAATGATAGTGCTCTTACAGAGGAAAGGGCAAGTCTTTGCATTTTGATGAAGTGATACATGCTCTCATCCAAATTGGTGATGACTATAAACCATACAGTTTAATTCTCTGAATAAACTCAGTTGTGTTACTCAGTCTGTTCTTGGTCAGGACTGTTGCATATCAGATTTATAGAAGTCCTAAGCAAAACTTCATAGGTACAAATACAGCCATGGCTGCCTCAAGACTAAGAATTGACACAGATATTATGCACAAACAAATGGTAGAAATCCAGTTGCTACACTCTCAATATGATACCATGAAGGTTAATTATAAAGGGACATTTATAATTTGTCTTGTACATCATTTCTTTTTTTAAGAACTTAGTGCTTTCTGAGCTTTGATTGTTTGCTTGCAGACATTTCATTACTTGACCAAATAACATTATCAGTGCTGGTGAGTGTGGAATTTTCTCCCTGTTTGTGTAGGTACCAGTAGTACCAGTTATGAGCATAATGGAGCCTGCCCATCATGGTCATCACTCATGACCATTGTGAATTGGGTCACCCATGTGAGTGACCTGATTTTACAACCTTTTTTTGTGGTGGTCATTAGGTGAACATGGAGGTCATTAAACAAATACCACAGTTGTTAAGCAAACCAATGGTTCGCTATAGGCCAGTTTTACCGAAAACAGGAAGTAAGTGCTGATTTTCAACAAAACTGTTGTAAAACGTGCCACGTGGTCATCCCATAACTGCAGGATGCTGCAGATGGCCATAAATGGAGATTAGTTGCCAAGTGCCTGAAGGGCAATCACATGACTACAGGGGTGTGGGGTGGGGGTGACCATTGGAACTTCAAATCCAGGTCAAAAATATTCCCAGGGAAGCTCTGCCAGAATTTTGAATGCTAAACAATCAGTCATAAATTGAGGATCACCTCTAACTTGCCCTGTCAGTGAAATATGTAGTTTTCTCCTTGGTAGTTCCTTGATTAGTTCTCCTGTTTGTCTGGTGTTAACCCCTGATTCTCTGGGTGTTGGTTGTAGAAAAAATATATTCCGGTCTTTTTGCTTCCTTCTTAGCTTTTTTATTATCAGTGGTCTGTAAACCTGGTTTATATCTCTGTGGTTGATGATGGCTGATTTGCCTGAATGACATCCTTCAAGGAATTCCCTAACATTTTGGATTTAGCTTAGTCTGGGATACTGACAATATCCCAGTTGAAACTATGGTTGAGTCTATCCATGTGTTGTGAGATTGAGGAGTTTTCATTATGTCTTCTGACTGATAGTTGCTGTTCATAGATATGCTCTGCTAGTCTTCCTGTCTGTCTTACATTTCTTCTTTGGCAATTATGATAAAACAAGGAGTAATCACATTTTAATTTAATACAGGTCAATTAAACACCATTTCTCATTAAGCATTCTTTCCAAATTAGTGGAGGAAATTAGTTTTATTAACTTTTTTCAAAGGCTTTAAAAGACTGGAGTAATAACTGTAGTCTTCTTTGTGATTAAGATAAATTTTCAGGTTTGCTAAACCAAAATAAATCCAATTTCTTTAGGATTGGGGGAGGGGAAAACCTGTGAACATGGCCCCAAAGAACTAAGAGAAACTATTTCTTTTGGATGATCCAGTCATTCTCGTATATTAATGAAAGCCCTAGTAAACTGTATTAGTGTAAGGCAGCTGAGAGTTGAATTTCAGATTTAAGACAAAATCACACACATATTCATACTATTGTGCCCCTGGATTTTGGCAAGAATAATCTTGATGGGTTTTGAGGGCATCTGTATCTTTCTGATCAGAAGAGGCTAACTCCTGATGTAGAAGATGATAACTTAGTTTTTCTGGGTAATTGTTGAAGCTTTTAATCAAATTGTTTTACAATGGACTTTGTGACCACATCTAAAAGCAATGGCACTAGCACAAGCACTTTGACTTATATACCGCTTGACAGTGCTTTATAACCAGGGGTGCTATTCACCAGGTTCTGACAGGTTCTGGAGAACTGGTAGCGGAAATTTTGAGTAGTTCGGAGAACCAGCAAATACCACCAGAGCGGGGTGGGAATGGAGATTGTGCAATATCCTTCTCCCAGGAGTGGGGAGGGAATGGGCATTTTGCAGTATCCTTCTCCTGGAATGGGGTGGGAATGGAGATATTGCAGTATCCTTCCCCTGCCACGCTCACCAAGCCACACCACACCCACCAAGCCATGCCCACAGAACTGGTAGTAAAAAAATTTGAATTCCACCACTGTTTACAGCCCTCTCTAAGCGGTTTGCAGAATCAGTATATTGCCCACAACAATTGGGTCCTCATTTTACCCACTTCGGAAGGATGGAAGGCTGAGTCAACCTTGAGCCTGGTGAGATTTGAACTGCCAACTGCTGGCAGCCGGATAATGACATTGTTTTGAAGAAAAGAGGGAATCTTGTATAAAGAGTGACAAGAATACATGCAGTATCTGAAGCTTATTAAACAGTAAGGATTTCTACCGTGAAGAGAACAGGACCTCATCTAAGCAGCAGTTTGGCCTAGCTCTCGCTTTATGTGTGTATCCAGGTGGATAAGCAGAGGTCAGCAATAGCATGGAGAAAAAAGAATGGAAAACTGTGGAAGACTGAAAAGGCGGGCACTTTTATATATGTATTATAAGTTGAATAAATATAAACATTTATAATCTTTAGATCTATTCCTTTGTTGTTTTATCCTAATTCATGTTTATTAGATGGTCAAGAAACAGAAAAGGGGAATTTTTGAAGTGCATACAGGTAGTTTTTGATTTACGACTAGTTGCC